AATATACACAATAACATCCCCCCTCAAGTTGGAGCATGCGGATTCCGAATGCCCAACTTGCCAAGAAAGAAATCAAATTCACGCTTCCCAAGCGCCTTGGCGAAGATGTCATCGAGATGTTCCCTAGAAGGAACATAAGTAGTAGAAATGAGACCTTGAAGAACAGCATCTCGAAAAAAGTGACAATCCACCTCAATGTGCTTAGTGCGCTCGTAAAAAACTGGATTCGCCGCAATATGTAGTGCAGATTGACTATCACAGTGTAACCACATAGGCTGAGAGTGAGCAATACCAAGAGTAGATAACATACCATGTAACCACTTCAACTCGCATAATGTAGTGGCCATCGCCCGGTATTCAGCCTCAGCAGAAGAGCATCCCACTGTAGGTTGTTTCTTGGTTCGCCAAGAAACAGGAGACTGACCCAGCTGAATAAACCAACCAGAAAGAGAGCGCCGAGTGAGAGGGCAAGACGCCCAATCCGAATCACACCATGCATAGAGTTGAAGATCGCAGTCAGTACGAAGATGAATCCCCTGACCAGGAGAACCTTTTAAATATCGAACCACATGCAGAGCAGAGTCCCAGTGAGCCTGACGTGGTTGATGCATAAATTGAGTGAGCATATGCACCGAGTAAGATAGCTCAGGTCGAGTCACTACCAGATAGATAAGACGTCCGACCAAACGACGATATCGCTCGGGATTAAACAATAGATCACCCTCAACAAGAGGGAGCTGATGATTCTGCTCTAATGGAAAATCAGCTGGCTTGCTCCCTAGCAGTCCGACCTCAGCTATGATGTCAAGAGCATACTTCCGCTGACGTAGAAAGAAGCCAGAAGAATTCCTGGCAACTTCGATACCCAAAAAATACTTAAGCAACCCAAGATCTTCATGTGAAAACAACGACTCAAGTAACTCTTGAAGGCCGCAATGGATGTGGTATCATTCCCAGAAACAATCAGATCATCAACATAGACCAGAACCTGCAGATGGACAGAACCGCGATGCAGTGTCAATAGAGAGTAGTCATGATAGGACTGACAAAAACCATATTGCTTCAAAGCCGTAGACAACTTGGCAAACCAGCAGTGGGGAGCCTGCTTCAAGCCGTAGAGAGAACGACGAAGACGGAAAACTTGGCCATCAACGGCAGAGCGAAAACCAGGGGGAAACTTCATGTAAACCTCCTCAGCTAAATCACCATGAAGAAAAGCATTGTGAACATCCATATGGTGAACTTCCCAATGCTTAGCAGCAGCCACAACCAAGAATAATCAGACTGTAACCATTTTAGCGACGGGAGCAAACGTCTCATGATAGTCAAGACCTTCCACCTGATTATTGCCCAAAATTACCAGACGCGCTTTATAGCGCTCAATGGAACCGTCAGACTTATGCTTGATCTTAAAGACCCACTTGCACCCGATCGCATGCTTCCCAGATGGAAGAGAAACTACATCCCACGTACCATTATTCTCCAAGGCACGAATCTCATCCTGCATAGCGGCTCGCCATCGAGGATCATTCACGACATCGGTAAAAGTGTGAGGCTCAGCAACGGAAGCGACAGCAGACAAAAAAAACTCGATGTGCTGGAGAGAATGAATCACAAGAAACATAATGTGCTATGGGATAAGGCGTACCGGAGGATGGAGATGACTGAGAAGAAACAGTAGGGGGTATAGTCGAGGGTCGGACAGTGTCAACCAAAAAATCCTTTAGCCGAGTGGAAGGAACCTTAGTCCGATGACCACGACCCAAAGGCTCCACTGGAAGAGTGAGAGGTGTAGTAGTAACAGAACCCCCCCTGTCGTCAGACGTGTCCATATTAGTAGCAGAAGGCCCAGTACTAGGAGAAACATGAGGCAAAGAGACAACCGGAAGATCCTCATCATCTTCCGGCGCAGAAGAAACTGGCAGAACAAGAGGCGGTGGCATAGAATATGGTTTGGACGAGTCTGACTGATATGGGAATTCAGTCTCAAGAAACTCCACATCACGAGACACAAAGAAAATCTGACGATCCAAATCATACAAACTCCAACCCTTTTTTCCAAACGGGTAACCGACAAACAGACAACGACGACTCCGAGCAGCAAACTTGTCACCATTACGATCTTGGTTATGAGCATAACAAAGGCAACCAAATACCCGCAAATGAGACAAGTAAGGAGCCGTACCATAAAGAATCTCATATGGGGTTTTACCATGTAAAACCGAGGAAGGAGTCTGATTTATCAAGTACACCGCTGTCAAAACACAATGACCCCATAAAGGAAGAGGCAGATGAGCCTGAAAACGTAAAGCACGAGCTACATTGAGAATATGATGATCTTTGCGTTCCACACGCCCATTCTGTTGAGGGGTACCTACGCAAGAAGTCTCATGCAGAATCCCTTGATGACGAAAATAGGAGGCCAAACACATGAACTCACTTCCATTATCAGTACGAACAACACACACCAATTTATCAAATTGTCGCTTAATCATAGAAAAAAAATTCAGCATTGTGGAAGCAACCTCCTTCTTATCATTCAATAAATAAACCCATGTCTCACGAGAACAGTCATCCACAATAGTCAAAAAGTACCGTGCACCACAGAAGGACGGAACACGATATGGACCCCACAAATCACAATGAATCAAATGAAAAGTCTCATGACTAACAGTATGACTGAGAGGAAAACTATGACGATGTTGTTTAGCACGAAAACAA